TGGCAGGGTAGGCCTTTGTGGTAGGATTTGAAGAATTCAGAAAGGCTCCTGGCCCATATATATCTTCCTTAATGGTCACAGTGCCTGAAACGCATACAAGAGACATTTCACTTGAACTTTCTCTTTTCGGTATAAAGCAACATCCAAATGCGAATGGCGTTCTCCAGAGGGAAAATAGTTAACTCATTATCAGCTATTAATACTTGAGTCAGAACGGCATTGGAATCCTTCTTCTGTTCCTAGATATATGCGTTTTGGCAGGTTGCTGTAATTCTCTCTGGGCCAGTTTTCCCTTCTGTAAAACTGGGGTTAATAGTAGATACTTGGGAAGATTAAATGAGATAATGCATATAAAACATATAGTAAATGCTAATGAACAGTAGCTGTTATTAGTCTTAGGGAGAGTAGGACTCCGAGGGAATATATTTGGGACTAGTAAATTTGGTTTGTCAGATACAAGGTGAAGTCTGGTATAGGGGGACTGCTCAGAGAAAAGGCCCTGGTGGAGTAGTGATATGGCCATGTAGTAGCATGGAAACTCTGGGGGCCTGGGTTTGGAAGGGGAGGGTGGAAAGAAGAAGAAGGACTGAAACAGGCTCAAACTATACTTACATTAACTTCCCAGCAAGAAAAGTATAGTCTTACTCAGGATGGGATGCTTTGTGAGGTAGTGAGCTCTGACAGTGGGAGTTCTCAAGCAGATGCTGGATGCTAGCTACCTGTCAGGAATACTCTAGTCTACCCTAGGGCTCCTCAAACATATGTACATGCAGATCCCCTGAGGATCATATTCAAAGACAGATTCCTAGTCAGTTAGTCTGGGTGGAACCTGTGATTCTGCGTTTCTAACCAGCTCCCTGATGATGCTGATGCTCCTGATCAACAGACCTCACTCTTGGTAGCAAGGCACTGTTATAGTTAGAAAATAACTTACAGTGAAATAGAGGAATATGGTTGGAGAAAGCCAGTGGGTTACCCAGGCAAGTCTCCATAGAGTGGAAGGATTTTGTTGCAGTCATGATCTACAATCTGGTTCTTACCTTTGTAAGCCTTGAAATTTGATTGGTAATATAACCAGAGACTGGGTTCCTGGGGACTGACTCACACTTAACCAAATTCACAAGAGACCAATATATAAGCCAGAATGCCAACTGATTAATTTATAATGAGAAGTACAACTTCCAAGTGGACCAGATACCAGTGTTTGCTAATCAGTACATTATCTCCCTGTAGGCATATTTACATGAGGAGCTAACTGATAATAAGTAGGGTTGCTTGGTGAGGATGAACTCAGAGCAAGGGGAGTTCATAGGATGATTTTAATGACTCACATTATCAAGCTATGGTAGTCTGATACCTCCATTCCACAATTGTCTAGAACTCCAGAATAGTTCTGGAGATATTGGCCTCCTCACTAGTCTCTTTTTCATCAGTCTTGTCCTCATACAATCCATATGATCTCTTTAAGTTCAAATCTGATCATACCATTCATTTGCTCCATTGACTTCAATAGAAATTCACAATTTTAAACTTATTATTACAAAATGTTTAAAATACTGTATAAAAAAAGTTGGAAAAAGAAAGTACAATGAGCACCCATATACCTACCATTTAGATTTATCACTTGTTGTCATCTTGCCATATTTGCTTTATGTATGTGTATATACATGTGCATGCATATTGAGTCCATACTCTTTAATATAATTTTCTGGCCAGGCCAGTGGCTCACGCCTGTAATCCCAGGACTTTGGGAGGCCAAGGCAGGAGGATCACGAGGTCAGGAATTCGAGACCAGCCTGGCCAACATGGTGAAACACCGTCTCTACTAAAAATACAAAAATTAGCTGGGCATGGTGGCACACACCTGTAATCCCAGCTACTTGGGAGGCTGAAGCAGGAGAATCGCTTAAACCTGGGAGGCAGAGGTTGCAGTGAGCCAAGATCATGCCATTGCACTCCAGCCTGGGCAACAAGAGCAAAACTCCGTCTCAAATATATATTTTTATTGCAACTTTACATCCCAACCATACCAAACTACTGAATGCTAGTTCCCTGAATGTTCTTTGGAGTTCTCATATAATACACTCTTGCCTATGCCTGAAAATCCTTACTCTCTTTGCTTGAGTCACTCCATTTGTACTTGAAGACTCAGTCACACCCGTGTTGCCCTAGCACCTTATACTTTTCTCGGTCATAACATGTATTACACTGTACTGTTATTGATTATCTCTCTGACTGTCTTACTAGACCATGAGCTCATTGAGGGCAAGGACTGTTTCTTTTGTCTCTCTACACCCCTGTCTCTCCCATACTTTGCACTTAGCAGGTGTTCAGTAATCAGAAACTCAACTGCCTATCACGCAGTTCTGCCTGGTTACATCATAGGCACCTCAAAATCAACACATCTAAAGTGAACTCATCTCTCCTTCTACGCATTCTATACATTTAAAACCCTCCTCCTATACTCCCTGATTGAATGTCATCTAGTCTTCCAAGTCAAAAACCTCAGAAATTTCTAACTCCTCCTTCTCTTTCATCCCCCAAACCAAGTCCTGTTGATTCTACCTCCAAAGAACATTCCCATTCTGCCCACTTCTCTTCATGTCCACTACCTGTCTATCCAAGCCACCTTCATCTCTCACCTGTAGCACTGCCAACCATCTTCTGTATGGGCTCCCTGCTGCTATTCTTATTCCCTCCAATCTATTATTCACAGAGAAGGATCTCTAAACTTCAGATCTGATTCTGTTACTCCCTGATTAAACCCTAATTATATTACTCCTTGTTTTTGGATAAAGTCTAAACTCCCTAGCTTTACCCAAAGGACTCTCAAGAACTGACCCTCATGTACCTCTCCAACATGATCTGTTACCACCGTCCCTCTGTTACTTTAGGCTCCAACCATTTTGCATTTACTGGGCCTATAGTAATTGCAGCTTCCTAACATTTCTTTTTCATATTTCAATGCCTTTCCTTGTGTTGTTTTCTGCCTAGAAAAGTTAACCCTCTCAAACTCAGCCCAGGTGTAACCTCCTCTGGGAAGCTTTTCCTTACTTCCCAGTCTGGGTTAGGTGCTTGTCTGTTATCCACTACTACCCTGTCATATCTCCATCATAGTGCTTACACTATATACATATGTCACTCTATACTGCACTTATCATCTTACTTGTCCTTCTCATCAAAACTAAGTTATGAGCTTCTTGATAGGAGAGTTGATGTCTTATTTGATTTTATACCAAAATGCTCAGCCAATGGCTTATGGCAGATGTACAACAAATATTTGAGAAAGTAATGAATGGATAAACATTAATAAATGTCTCTCTGAACTTCATTTTTGTAGCTATAAAATATCTTCTTTCTTTTGAACACGTTGTCTCTTCAAAGTACAATATATTTGACTGTCATTCAGGTAATATTGATTGAATTTTGAATGCTCTTCACCAGCAAAATCAGACAATTTCTGGAATTGTACCATTTCTTAGAGGTGGTTGGTCCTACCCACTTTTCCCATAGGTAATTTTTATCTCAGAGATTACAATCAGTATTTGGGGGTACCATGCTATTGGTCTCATACACCCACTTTGACCTCTAAAGTGCCTTTCAATACCTAGAGTATATGTTTCACAAAATCGCCCATTTATTTATGTTCTAGGTGTTGTTTGGTATATGATGTTAATTTTCCTCTAGGTTTCTCTCAAGCCATAAGAGTATCAAGTACAGAATTGTTCCATGCTTAATCTTTGGAAATAACATTGATTAAGTAAACGCTGGGCCAGGGATTGAGGGGAGTAATTGATCAGAAATTTAACAAGTGTTGAGCTGCATAAAGTAGATTGTATTTCTTTGAACCGAAAAAGTGGCTAAAACTGAACATCCTGAACATCATTTTCTCTGATATTACCTCAAATTAACAACTTTAATATTATTTTAGAATTGTGTCCCTGAACCTGTTTAATAATTTTAATATTTAACATGTAATTTTTATATATTGCTAAGCATTGTTCTAAGTGCTTTATTACATGTATTGACTCATTTAATCATCTGAAAACTCTGTGAGGTAGGTGCCATTATTATCCCCCTTTTACAGACGATGAGGAAACTGAGTGAGGCACAGGGAAGTTCCCCAAGGTCAAAAGTTATTCGTAACTATCAGACACCAGGTGTATTAATTCAGATTAATTCAAGGCTCATTTGTTAACCACGTAGTAAATGTAATAGTTGACAGGGTAGACAAAAATTGTATACTTAAGCAAGGATAAATCATAATGTAATAGTGCCATGAGTGAATCGCCTAGGTGAGTCAGGCTCCTTTCAGTTAGTGGGAAATGGAGAAAGATTATGTAGTTAAGGTTATGAATAGCGCAGGAATATCCACTTGGGTAAGTCAGGTTTGTGAAAAATGCAGAAAAAAGGCTTGGTTCTGAGGTGTGTGAAAACAGTCATTCTTTTGTGAGGACTAAGATTACTTTTAGAAGAGGCATCTGATGCGGTGCATTAAACCTAGGGTAACGGTAAGGAAATACACATGTATGAGGCTTCTTAGGAGCAGGGAAAGAGAAAGGTGCCATTTGAAGTCAGTAAGAAAGGGTAACAACGCGCTTTTCCTGCCCTTCCCCCATCTAGAGGATCAGTAAATAGCCTGATTCTACTCAAATTCTTTCCCTACCCAAATTCCCTTGACTACAACTCAGACCTTTTGGATCTGCGCTTTTTAGAAGTACTGTACTTTCACATTCTGGCACCGTAAGCCCGAAACGTCCTTTAGGCAAATGATAGGAGGGAAAAATGTATTCTTGCAATTCAAAACCGACTCGAATCCTACCAGAAAGCTTTATGTTTGCGGACTTTATCGTTCCTCGCCTGTCCGTTTTTTATAAAACGACGCGACACACCTGGCCACACAGCCTCAGATCCTATTCTAACATCGTTCCATCCTGTTACCCTTTTAAGAGGCGGATCCCGCAGTGTCCTTTCCTCCCTCCCAGCCACCTCCACCCCCAGTCGACTGGGCGGAGCTTCACGCTAAAGCCCCAGAGCCCGACGCTGCAGCCGCGGTAGCTGAGAGCGCTGGAGCTTCGAGGAGCTGCATCTGCGGCAACCTGTGTGCTGACGCTACGTGCCTCCTGGCTCCGACCTAGCTCGCAGCTCCCCAGTCTCACTCCATTCCTTCCCCACCTGGTGCGCACCTGCTCAAGGCCAGGGTCCTGCCAAGCGCTAGGAGGGCGCGTGCCAGGGGCACTAGGGAACTGCGGAGCGCGCGCCATGGGGCCGCCGCCTAGGGCCGGGGTCTCCTGCCGCGGTGGCTGCGGCTCTTCCAGATTGCTGGCGTGGTGCTTCCTGCTGGCCCTGAGTCCGCAGGCCCCCGGCTCCCGGGGGGCCGAAGCAGTGTGGACCGCGTACCTCAACGTGTCCTGGCGGGTTCCGCACACCGGAGTGAACCGTACGGTGTGGGAGCTGAGCGAGGAGGGCGTGTACGGCCAGGACTCGCCGCTGGAGCCTGTGTCTGGGGTCCTGGTACCGCCCGACGGGCCCGGGGCGCTTAACGCCTGTAACCCGCACACGAATTTCACGGTGCCCACGGTTTGGGGAAGCACCGTGCAAGTCTCTTGGTTGGCCCTCATCCAACGCGGCGGGGGCTGCACCTTCGCAGACAAGATTCATCTGGCTTATGAGAGAGGGGCGTCTGGAGCCGTCATCTTTAACTTCCCCGGGACCCGCAATGAGGTCATCCCCATGTCTCACCCGGGTGAGTGCAGCTACTAGATTGCACCCCTCCAGACCTCTGCCATGGCCAGTTTCTCTTATTTTCCTCATTGCCCTCCTCGCCCTATCCCCTTGCTCCCAAGGAAAGTGGGTGCTCTTTCTGTCCCCACGGAGTGGGGCAGGGTCCTCCCCGAATTCACCAGGCCTGGGGGTTGGGCAGAAAAAATCCTTCATTTGCCTCTCTGGTGGAAAAGGGTAAGACAAACCGGGTGCAGAGGCTGGCAAATCGAGGACTGTTTGAGCTCTTTGCGTTCCCTTTTCCTGGTTTTTCACAAGGGTGTCTAGCCTTGGATTAAGTGGCGGTGGGCATCGGGTCTTAAATGACCGAGGAGAAGATCACCTGGAAATCTCTTCCTCACTCTGCTGTTTAACAACCTCAGACTGGCAGCAGATTTTCCCCTCCTCTCCGTGTTTTTCTCTCCATGTTTCCTGGGTATCAAATACTAGATTGTGCTACTGTGTCCTGTTAACCTAATTGCAATTTTGGTGGAAACTTTGCTTAGTTCTTGGGTTCTTCTCTGCCCAGTGGTCTCAAGTCCCAAGTGACTGTTGGTATCAGTGCTTTTGTTTGCTCCTGAAAAATCTGATTTAGGTTGTTGAGTTGCAAAACAGGTGACTAACGTTCTTGAAAAAGAAGAGGTTTCTGCATGAGGATAGCAAAGGCCTAGACTTTGGAGAAAAAAAATAGTCCAGGTAGTTCTGAATTCTTGGAAATGGTGTGGGGTTACTATTTTTCCCCCTTTGGTTATCCTTCCAGAAACCTTCCTATTTGTGATTAGGTATCCATACCTTATGTATATAGTTATCCTAGACTCTAAAGGACAAAGGGGGAAAAATGGAGAAAAAGGAAGAGACACGTGTAATAGCAGTGTATCATAGTTTTTAAGAGCTGGGCCTCAAGTCAGAGCTTGGTTTAAATTCCTACTCTGTTGCTTACTAGTCCTGTGACCTTGGGCAACTTATTTGAAGTCTTAGAGTCTGGGTTCTCTCATCAGTTAAATGAGAATGAATAATAAGAAAACTTACCCACAAGTTTGCCTTGAGGATAAAATTAAATAATGCCTTAAAGAGTTTAGTGCAGTAAAGCACATCATCCACTCTCAGTAAGGGTTAGCTGATAGGATTAGCCTTCTGGGAGTCACTGGAAGGATGAAGCTTCTTATTTGACTACTGGAGGTTTTCTGTTTATCTTAAAACCTTATGACTGAACCTGCCTAGAGAGCACTTGTATTGAGTGGCTAGATGGCGTAACGGAAAGAACACTGAATTGGAACTCAGGAGATTTGAGTTCTTTTAGCCCCTTCTTTGCCTCTACCAACTTTATAACCATGTACAAGTTACTCACATGTCAAATGGTTGTATAGGCAGTGGCGGCCAAGTTAGAAGCTTGTACCAAAACAAAACAAAACTAGATCGCTTTCAGATCTAAAATGCTATGATTTTTAGATTTTATATTGATTAAAGGAGAAACTGTATCTCTCTTGGCCGATAATTCATTGATTAGAATGAATTAGTAGCTTTTAGAAGTTACTGAAAATCAATAATAAAGATGTAATAAAGTTTGTAGTCTTTATATTTCAGTTGACTGTCTAATAGCAAGGGTTTGACTTTGTCTTCTAATGAGATTCATTTGTATGAATGATTTGTAATTGAAGAGTATTTAATTACAGAGTCCTACTTAGACAATTTTCCTTTTACTTCTGTTAAGGGTATTTATCTGATAGTTTTAGGAGACAATAAAATTAACTTTTGCTGAGCTCCCACTATGTGCCAGGCACTCTACATACATAATACTTATACTTTATTGAGAGGCAATATGGTGTACTAAGAAAAACACAGGCATTTTAGTCAAGATTGGGAATAAAATTCTGGATTTACCACACAGTAACTTTGTGTCCTTGGTCGGATTATTTAACTTTACTGAGCCTTGGATACCTCATCTGTAAGATGGAAATAATATTTATGTTCCTGTGATTATTAAGGATAATATACATATATACTACCCAGCTGATAATAGTCACTGAATGTTATCATAGGTTAATGCTAACAGGATGCAAAAAATTAATGTACAAATATATGATTGTGTAACTGTCGATTTGAAGACACGAATACACTGAGAATCTAATTATGGCTGTTGTGTTTCAGGATACCATATAGGAATAAAGCCCTAAATATTGATCACTAAATTACACTACATTCAGAAAAGCATTTTGATACTTTAAAAACAATATTATCTGAGATAAAGGCTATACCAAAGTTTGCCATCAAGCTAACTAGCCAAAACTAGCAAATTACTTGAGGTAAGGAATCACATTTCTCCCTGAACTCCTGGAAAAACTATTTTTCAATATAGGTGGAGAATCACTTTGCATATTATCCACATGTGTTATTGAATATTTGTTTGCAAAGTGTTATATTGTTTGCTCTACTCATTCTTCACAGTAAGCCTAGGGTTTCCTTTTAATCTCTGGTCAGAAACTTCTCTTGGATCATAGTGGCAGAGAGATAGGACTGAGATTTTAAGTATGGATTAATTCATTATATATTGCTGTGAATTACAAAGGGGCCACCAAATGTAGAAAAGCCTTCTGTATCTTCTTTGTTTACAAAATCTCTCTTCATTCACTGTCATAGGGGACTGCACTTGAATTGTTTGCCCTTGGTTAGAGTTTGTGCTGAGTGTCTATACTCTCACCTAACTGATTTAGAACAGTAGCTTTAAAATTTTTGTTTAGGAGAAAGAAACTCCACTATATAAGAGCAATCAATTAGGAAAATGAGACTTTTATGTATACCAAAATTTTACGAAAGTTAATTGTAGCCTAGCATCAACTTATGCAGTTTATTTCTGTATTTTGTTTGCAGAGTATTCAGAAAATTCTGATTCACACAGATAAATAATTGCAAATGACAGATGCTTATTGGCAGTTTGGCTTGCAATCTCTGGATATATTTCAGTCAAATCAGTGCAGAAACCTGAAAGGAAATTAGGAGAAAATTTTTATTCCAAAGTGTAATTACTATTCGAATTTCTTATCTTAAAAATGAAAATCAGATAAGAAGTGGCCAAATCTTAAAGTAAGCATTAAAACCATCTAAAATGTAAGATTGTCACGAGATACGTTAAGCATGTTCTCACTATGGCACAACAAACTGTTCTGCTTTCGCCAGGCAGATGGGCCTGAGCCTTGCCTGGTGTCTAATTGAGCACAACCCACAGGTTGAAGAGGTGTGTATACTTGCTTGTACAATTTTCCTTGAGTCAACATTGTAGGCATGAATTTATTGAAAGACCGGTGCAGAACTACAACCTTCATAATTCATGAAACGTTTACAAGAGCTTGAAACATATGCAAAGGGATGTCAGGAGAAGCATTATTCCTGAGGGCTGTAAAAAAAAAAAAAAAAGTGAATGAACCAAGCAGTTTAATTAATGATTTGGGGGTCTTCAATGGGATACAGTTTGATATATAATACAGTTGCTTGTGTACATTGTTGAAAGTTAGTGGAACAGATTAGTTAAGAGGTTGGGCTCTGCCCCTTAGTGTTTTTTAAATCTTAGGCCAGTTATTTTACTTCTCTAAGTCTCAATTTTCTCCTATGTAAGGCAGGCATAGTAGTAAACTTGCCTCCTAAGGTTGCTGGGATTCAATGAGATAATGCATATAAGGTGTTTAGCACAGTATCTGACATATAGGAAGCTACTATTATGTTTTAATCACAGTTAAGGTAAATATGCTTTAGAAAATGAAAGTTGAATCCTGTGTTTGTAGAACATAATTGGAAATGAACAGTCTAGAGTACTTCAGAGTCCACATTACCTGAAATTCTAATTTGATCCCTTGAGGTACGGAGGGTAGAATGAATTTTAACAGGAAAAATATCTTTTGGTCCTCCTATGTTTGTTGTACTTTTCTCAAATAACTGCTTCTCCCTCCTGCTACCAATCTTTTTCTGTTCACAGAGGACCTTGGAATAGTATGTTTGTACTACTTAATCACCACCCAATCCCTTCTCAACCATTTTATATTTAAGTTTTATTCTATTTTTTCTAGAATGTTGACTTTGAAAATAAATCTGTTTTTTCTTTTTTTTTAGTAGAGAAGCTCAAAAGGGATTGGCCAGTGATGATTAACCAATGTAAAATACTATTCCCAAAGCCATTTTCAGATGTAGCCTTCTTGGTATCTCTGTAGGACTGTATTTGATACTGTTGACTACTTCTTCAAAACTATCCCAAGTAGTGTCTTCCTTCCTTGCCTCTCTTTTGTTTCATTACTATTTTATTAATTCATGCATCTGACACTTATTCTCACTTGGATCCCAGACTCCTAGTACTCCTCCTCCAATAAATAGCTGCCACATCCTGTTGATTCTGGCACTTTAAACATTCTCACATATGTCTCCTTCTTCCTTGCTTTCAATACCCTGCTTTCAGTTCCAGTGTCTTCTCATGGGAAAAAATACTTAGCCTCTTGATTGGTCTCCTTCCCTCCAGTAGTTTTTTTCCTAGTATGCAGTTCTTCCTCCATGCCATCAGAACACAGCTCTGATCACATATATGCTATTACTTATAAATTTTAGACTACATTTCTCAGCATGGCATATAAAACTCCTAGTAATCTGATCCCAAACTACATTCAAAGCTTTATATGCCTCTTCTTTCATGTTGGTCCCTAAACATTCTCTATTCTTTTCCACTAACATTCGTTTGCTTCTGCTATTGCCGACAGACCTTTTTTTCTTAGCTCTGCTGCTCAAAAATTTACACATCCTTCAAAACACAACACAAATGCCTCCTCATCTTTGAAGCTTTTCTTAATTCTTTCTTTTCCCATTCCCAGCACAGCCCACATCCAAAAAAAGTGTAGTGATCTCTTTTTGTTCAATAGCACTTCCTCTCTTATAGTACGTTCTGCATTTTGCGGGAAACTATTTGTTTACATATTTTACCTTCTACTGGATTATAATAATTTTAATGTT